TTCTATAAAGAAGTCCGATAATTGGGAGATAAGAAAAGCTAAGGGCGTTAAGAAGTATGTTGTAAAAAAGCATATCAAACACGAACAGAATAAAGAATCATAATTCAACGGTAGAACGTTCAAACACGAGATGAACTCTTTAAGAAGTTACAATCATAGGATATATGGATTAAGAATGAACAAGACATCATTATCCCCCTTAGATACAAAGAGATGGATTGATAATGATTGTGTAAATACCTATGCTTATGGTTATGGTGGTAATACCGTACCGTCCGGAACTATGAAGAACTCTTCTCGTACAAATGCCCTACCCGGTCCATCTTGAAGATAATAAAGAATAGGCTCTCCTTCTTTCGTAACCAATCGACTAATGTTATACGTCTTAAGGGACCATATGGGATCGGTTGCGCGACGTAGGCCTCCTTCGAGTTCACCGGCCTGGTATAAATATCTTACGCTTACTCTATCCGGAAGTTTTCGTTCTTTGCCTCTCCTTGGTGCTGAAGATTCGGAAGTCACAGATTTCATTTTAATAGCATGGGATGGTTTCTTCCCTATTAATCTCGTTACTTCATTATTCAGCGCTGATACAACGGCTGATAATCGTGTCACCCATTCGGTTGATCTCAATCGCTCTGATTTCATTTCGATCCCATACTGATAGCCAAACAAACGTTCCGCTAATGTCCGGTTAAATCTTTCGACGATAGCTTGACTGCGGTGGGCCGCTCTTTCACCACGGACGATTTCGACATCGTGCTTTGTTAACAGTTTAGTTACCGATCCCATAAACTCGCGACCGGGATCTACTTGAAATAGCTTAGGCCATTTTAGCGGTCCGCGTTTATATATGCGACTCAGTGCATTAGCTACTTCTGTTGATTCTTTCGAGGTTAATGGCTCAGCCTCTTTGTATCGACTAGCCACATCCACTACAGTTAAAGCGTATTTATACGTTTTGCGTCTTACCTTATCACTGGGAAGAAACAAGAGGTCAGCCTGATGAACTTTATTCGTTGTAAAAATATCAAACTTCTTCCTCGGTATATAACGCGGTGCTGGTAAATATATTTGCCACATGGCTTGTTTCTTTAACCAATCCTTGGCCACATCTTTAGATACCTTAGCCGTGGTGGCTAATTTTTTTATTGCTCCTACACCTTTCCAATATCCTCGTGGGCTATAGTAAATTTTATCCATTATTAATTAATATTGATGTTTCGTTTAATACAACTTATGACTATCGTTAAATCGCATAATCATTTTGGCATAAAAAATCCCCCCTGTAGTGATGGTATAGGTATATAAATCCAGCTCCAGTGGAAGTGAGCCAGAACCATCATTACCTATAAAAATTTATATCATTGGCTCCAGGTGGTGGTGAGCTGGAGCCAATTTAGCTGAATCTTATGACTATCATTGAATTGCATAATCATTTTGGCATAAAAAATTCCATCTGTAGTGATGGTATAGGTATATAAATCCAGCTCCAGTGGAAGTGAGCCAGAACCATCATTACCTATACTACTGTCTGAATTGGGTTTTTTCTGCTTTGTAAAATTAAAAAAAGGCCAAAATAATATATATCTTTCATTGATCATATTGAAATATAATCATGGTAGTATTTGGCAACAAACAGCTACCATTCATATACATAAAATCCTTGTATACAACATGCACCATTTAACCCTTAAATATCAAAACAGATTTCAGTGATTTCCATTTCTTTTATTTTGAAGATTGTATCATGATATCTAGTTGATGACGTAATTTTACAGTGCCTGTTACTCTTACAATTTCTTGAGAACATTTCTCATTGCTCTCAGTTATATATCTGACAAATACTTACATGTGTTGCTGTCAATATTCACAACATTGAGCCTACGGGCAACGTTGCATGAGACCTTCACGTTTCGCGTAACGTATCGCCTCACAGTTTAACATAATGAAATGCATGCATATGATGTGGCCTGCTCGGCGATGCTACAACATAGATATAGGAACGTATACAAAATCTACTTAATTTTCATAATCATACATCAAGGGCAACACTTTCAGTACCGATTGCAAAACGTCAACAAAGCGACCTGGGAGGAACGATCAGCTGATTTCACCGCATCGCTTCGAACGCCTATCTAGTGGTTAACTATACAATATAATCAGACGTGGTCATCCCTGATGTATAATTATATCAAGGAACATATATTTCCGGACATGGCAATAGATAAATAATTGTTTAGGCGAAAAGATATACTGTCCGCACACAAGTGTGACCGTTGCCGACAGAGGTGAAGGTTGTACTAGTTAACTGTCTATAGACGTCATAGTAACATGTAGTGCTCGTATCGCGCATACCACATGCGCCGTCAGTTTAAGGTTGGACCGTCCGGGTCAGCGCACCTAGCGGGTTAGTGAAGGGAAGATAAATTGAAAAAGATCGCCCATTGTTCCATATGTTCCTGTGTTTTTTAGCTGAACACTTGACTTTCCTTTGCATGTGTTTGCGACAGGTGCCACCGGTGGGGCAGGATATATGCTCACCTTTTCTCAAACACCTAGTATCATCACTATTTAATAGTTACCATATTCGACGTAATAAGCGCCCTGCTCTAATAAGCGCCCACGGCGATATTTGCTAATATATTGGCTAGTGAACAATCCCAAATAGCACCCCTTCAGATTGATCAATGTACACAAGACTTATTTATTCGCGCACAATACGCACTCCTGTGTTATATGCACCCTTCAGTATGGGCAATTAAATTCTGGAAAAATATATCTGCCGTACATAAACATTTCAGGCTGTCAGCATAAACCACGAAATTTATGTTTTTTCACCAAAATAGTAATAAAATAAGAGCCCCCTATTTCTAATTTTGAGAGCGCCCTGGGCGCTTATTACATCGAATACGGTATTCAAAAACATGCCTAAACAAGAGTTATCAGAAAGATGACATACCCCCCCGGCAGCTGTCTGTAAAGTAACCACAAGTAAATGTGCAATTCTGTATGTAATGAGTCAAGAGTTGAATGTTCTTGAAGAAGCATACATTGTTTACCAATAAAAGATCAACCTTGGTGGCAGCCATATGAAATGGAAAGTAAAACAAGTGTGTTTCTGTGGGTTATTTTTATGCAAACAAATGACAAATTACAAGAAACAATAACTAAACAAGCGTATAGTCAACGAAGTCATCTATATCCCCCGCCCATTTTAACATGTTATGGTCCAAAACCAGGTAACTGATCCAACATTTCTCTTAGCCCTTGTCAAAATAGCTGCAATGGAAATTCTAAAATAAACATTTCTAAAATTCCTAAATAGCAAAAGGCACCAGTTCAGCATGTGTCTGATAGACATGCAAAGTTTTGTTAGAAAGTTTTGAATGGGTTTTGAGTTATACTCCAGAAACGAACACCACCCTTATAGAACCTAAGTCCAACTTGTTGCCATGTAAATGTAAAAATTAAAAATGTCTAAAATTCCTAAATAGCAAAAGGCACCAGTTCAGCATGAGTCTGATAGACATGCAAAGTTTTGTTAGAAAGTTTTGAATGGGTTTTGAGTTATGCTCCGGAAACGTACTCTACCCTATAGAACCTAAGTCCAACTTGTTACCATGGAAACGTAAAAAATAAAAAATTATAAAATTCCTAAATAGCAAAAGGCATCAGTTCAGTATGTGCCTGGTAGACATGCAAAGTTTTGTAAGAAAGTATTTAACGGTTTTTGAGTTACACTCCGGAAATGAACACCACTCTTATAGAACCTAACTTGTTGCCATGGAAACGTAAAAAATAAAAATTTCTAAAATTCCTTCATAGGAAAAGGCACAACTTCAGTATGTGTCTGATAGATTTGCCAAGTTTCGATCAAATACACTGAATTCATCCAATAGTTTGCACGTGCCTCATGCTGGTGCGCCACACACCTGTGTCAATCCTGATTTTGACACTTTCAAGGAAGGTCTATTAATTTCTGTGGATCATTATTTCTGTCAATCTTATTGATTCTGCTTATCTTACAGTTGTAATTTACTTGATTTCTTTATTGTTTGTGTATGAATTAGTGTTGCAGCGTCTGCAACGCACCGACTCTACTTTTTTCTAGTTAGTATACTGGGCGTTCAGTAATTCTGCTAAACCCAGCATACAACAATGGGAGAAAACAGGGCATAGTCAGCCACATTTGTGTGGTCAAACTTGCTATAAAACAATACTAATGGTATTTCATTTAATTCCATGTATTATGTATACAATTTCGTGACAACATACCCGATCTTCCCGATCTTCCCAAGGCAAGGGAGTTAACTGACTGTAAAAGTCCAGTTTTCACCCTTGCCGAACTAAGCTGGAAATTCTGGGCTCAATCGTAACACAACCAGTTGCTATTACTAGTTATGTCCCTTCTGTGTCCCTGCTATTGACCAATCAGATTCCACCTCTGATCACTTACATTTGCTTCAAACAAAATGGCAGCGCCCAGTGAAGTCAATCTGATCAATAATCAACATCTATAGTGTAATAAAACGGGTGCTTCAAATCATGATAACCCTTGAGTAAAAACATGAAAAGATTTTGAAAATGTTTGTTGACGCTAAGTTCGCTGTACACATATCTGTAAATCATGCAATCGACCGAAATCTGAACAGCAGTTTATGAACCGGATGTTGATTTCATTATGCCATTTTGACTATGCATAAACTCATTGGTCCAGACAAAACATACATCCATAATTCCAGCCTAGTTCGGCAAGGGTGGAAACTGGACTTTTATAGTCAGTTAAATACCTTGCCTCAGCAAGATGGACAACAGAGAGATGACATGAAATATCAACACATAAATCACTGTTGAAAATGAGGTGTTTGTTATTGTTTACATTTCACCAATGTGGCAACGACTTTTTGAGTCTTGAAACAGCATAAATAATGTTTTCTGTCAGTAAAATAACTGGATGTTATTCTCATAACGTATCCATTGCATCAGCATGCATGAAAATGCTAAGAAACAATTCTCTCAGCCTTACCTGTCAGTTATCTTCCAAAACCATCCTCTCCCCCAGACACAGGGAGACTGTCACCATCTTCTCCCCCAGACACAGGGAGACTGTCACCATCTTCTCCCTCAGACACAGGGAGACTGTCACAATCCTCTCCCCTCAGACACAGGGAGACTGTCACCATCCTCTCCACCAGACACAGGGAGACTGTCACCATCCTCTCCCCCGGACACAGGGAGACTCACTATCCTCTCCCCCAGACACAGAGAGACTGTCACCATCCTCTCCCACAAAAAAAGGTAGACTGTCACCATCCTCTCCCCCAGACACAGAGAGACTGTCACCGTCCTCTCCCCCAGACACAGGGAGATTGTCACCATCCTCTCCCCCCGGACACAGGGAGACTGTCACCATCCTCTCTCCCCAGACACAGGGAGACTGTCACCATCCTCTCCCCCAGACAGGGAGACTGTCACCATCCTCTCCCCTCAGACACAGGGAGACTGTCACCATCCTCTCCCCCGGACACAGGGAGACTGTCACCATCCTCTCCCCCAGACACAGAGAGACTGTCACCATCCTCTCCCCCAAAAAAAGGGAGACTGTCACCATCCTCTCCCCCAGACACAGAGAGACTGTCACCGTCCTCTCCCCCAGACACAGGGAGACTGTCACCATCCTCTCCCCCAGACAGGGAGACTGTCACCATCCTCTCCCCTCAGACACAGGGAGACTGTCACCATCCTCTCCCCCAGACAGGGAGACTGTCACCATCCTCTCCCCTCAGACACAGGGAGACTGTCACCATCCTCTCCCCTCAGACACAGGGAGACTGTCACCATCCTCTCCCCCCAGACACAGGGAGACTGTCACCATCCTCTCCCCCCAGACACAGGGAGACTGTCACCATCCTCTCCCCCAGACACAGGAAGACTGTCACCATCCTCTCCCCCAGACACAGAGAGACTGTCACCATCTTCTCCCCCCAGACACAGGGAGACTGTCACCATCCTCTCCCCCGGACACAGGGAGACTGTCACCATCCTCTCCCCCCAGACACAGGGAGACTGTCACCATCTTCTCCCCCAGACACAGAGAGACTGTCACCATCTTCTCCCCTCAGACACAGGGAGACTGTCACCATCCTCTCCCCCGGACACAGGGAGACTGTCACCATCCTGTCCCCCAGACACAGGGAGACTGTCACCATCCTCTCCCCTCAGACACAGGGAGACTGTCACCATCCTGTCCCCCAGACACAGGGAGACTGTCACCATCCTCTCTCCCCAGACACAGGGAGACAGTCACCACCCTGTCCCCCAGAGACTGGAAGACTGTCACCATCCTCTCCCCCAGACACAGGGAGACTGTCACCATCCTCTCCCCCAGACACAGGAAGACTGTCACCATCCTCTCCCCCAGACACAGGGAGACTGTCACCATCCTCTCCCCTCAGACACAGGGAGACTGTCACCATCCTCTCCCCCAGACACAGGGAGACTGTCACCATCCTCTCCCCTCAGACACAGGGAGACTGTCACCATCCTGTCCCCCAGACACAGAGAGACTGTCACCATCCTCTCCCCCAGACACAGGGAGACTGTCACCATCCTGTCCCCCAGACACAGGGAGACTGTCACCATCCTCTCTCCCCAGACACAGGGAGACTGTCACCACCCTGTCCCCCAGAGACTGGAAGACTGTCACCATCCTGTCCCCCAGACACAAGAAGACTGTCACCATCCTGTCCCCCAGACACAGGGAGACTGTCACCATCTTCTCCCCCAGACACAGGGAGACTGTCACCATCCTCTCCCCCAGACACAGGGAGACTGTCACCATCCTGTCCCCCAGACACAAGAAGACTGTCACCATCCTCTCCCCCGGACACAGGGAGACTGTCACCATCTTCTCCCCCAGACACAGGATTGACATCTACACCCTCGATGTCCTGTGTAGCCTGGAACATGAAGGTGAATGTCACAGGTAGATGGCCATGCATGTTCTTTTCCAATAATTAAATGCATATAACATATTATAAAAACACTTGTTGAGTTAATATTTATTGCTTTACATTCAAATACAAAGACAATGCCATAAACGTGCATACCACAGCAAGACTATATATTGGGGGGGGGGGGGGGGGGGTGTGTTTAAAAATCAAACACCAAACTATCATATTTGAATGTTCAGTTCATTACAAATAACTCTGATAACGATGCCTGTAATAAATCTGTGGTGGTGTACTCAATAGTGAGAATAGTCACTGAGGTGTGGTGCAGAGCCTATAACAGTGTATGGGGGGAACGGCTGTCAAACGCGGAGAAGCCAGCCACAGCTCACGGTCAGTTGGGGCAAGGCGGCTACCATCAACTGGTCCCGCTACAAGCAATCGTTCCTGGTATCTGACGCTCTGTGACAACTTATCTCAGAGCAAACATTACCTTGATCATCTAAATATAGATTTCATCATTTGAAATCGCCTGGTTGTGAGTTGCAATATGAATGCTTTCCCGCCAACGGAAGGTAGCAGGTATTAATAGATCACGGGGAAACCCAAGTTTTCTCCAAATCGCTATTCATCAACATTACATAATAATTCTTACCAGTCGATCGAATCTTTCGTTATCGATACTACCAGCTGGGGATGAGACAAAACATTTAACCAGACAGTCGTACGATGGTACTCGCCGTGACAACCATATGTCACGTGTTCCGTTAGTCCACACATCGCCACAGAGGAAGCGCTTGGATTATACAGCTCAAACCTCGTCTGCCAATAAACCCACATCGTACCATACATTCCAAGCTGCGTTTATGATAAACTTTCAGAAAAGTAAGGGACAGTTCTCTAATTTCAAGTAATTGTTTTTTAAATTTGCACAATATTTCGGGATGGTCATTTATTATTAAGGGTGTGGGAAAGTGCCGTGATATATGTTTTACTTATGTTGGGGTACCTGAAAAGCAAAATATGACAGTCCAAAAAACATCCTTGCGGTCAGCAGTCCTATAATATGAAGACCTATATTATAGGCGGGTCCAGAGGGGTGGTCCAGGGGGTCCGCATGTACACATGCCTTTGGATTCAGAAATGTAAATTCTAATTATTTATTGTTTTATTTGGAAACATTAACAGTAAATATTATAGAGTATAATGTTGTAAAGGTAATATATTTGTATTTAGAAATCATATACGTTAAAAGGTACATACAGTATATATTTCTTCAATAATATTTATAGTGGATGGGGATTACCTCTACATACATTGCATCACACATTGTTCAGAATAGTTTAATAAACATACTTAGCAAAATAGAAGTGGTATTCAAATAAGTGTTATAAAGATAAATATATACATATACATAGACATAGACATTCCAAAGTTTTACAGATAATTAATTATACAGCGAACTATAGATGTCTAACTTGTGTATCTCTTGTATATCACCAGTTTAGTTCCACTGAATCAGCGGTATATTCCAACACTACACATCTAATAAGATGAAACGTTTCTGGTTCTGGTCCAATAAACTTTGTATTTCCTTATGAAACCGTTTGAGATCACATCCATTCTTATAGAAGTAGCAATTACATCTAATAACTGTAAACTGGGGGCAAATGAAACATAATGTAAAGCATCTTCACAATGGTGTCCGCATAAACAATATCCTGAGTCATCTAATAATCTATCATATTTAAGGCTTTTCAAATCACTGCACCCCCGGCATATATCGTTGCCGGCGACAATATGTGACGATTGGCGACAGTATGTGCTGTGAAGGTTATAGCAGGTATTCTCGCCAGCGACAATTTACGCCGTAACACCCCTCCCCTTTAAAATGCTGATTCTGCCCTTGTATATGAAGCAAGTTTCGATTTTCCACAGCATCTAAATTCCCCATCTCACTGGAGCGGCTTTTTAATGTAAATTGAGTTGTATGTTTCTATCAAAATTATACATTTTGTTTTAGTAAGCATTCGTCGGTAGCGACAGTGTCGGGCTCCCGGAAGGCTTCGGCGACGAAGAGTTTCCCCGCACGTTCTTTCATCTTATCTAGTTGTCAGTATCACCATTGCCTTGGTAACCCACAGGTATGGCCGACACTTGTTTGTGGAGGGTCACACAAGGTACGAGTAGTGAGCATGAAGGAGGGTGACGTTACTATTGACTGTGGCATTATGTCTTAATATGTTACTGCGATCTTGAGAGTGGACACAACTCGATGCTTAAACGGCCCGGCTTTGGGGTGTGTAAGAAACAGATGACTGCACTCCTGCCTGTAATATACCATTTATCTTACAACTCATGGTAATATTAATGTGGCTGCCCTTTCTGTACGCGACTGTGTGAATTGTTACATTAGAAAACATTACTGGTTACCGAATGCGATACCATGGGAACACGTGCTTGAAAATTTAGGAAGCGGTAATTATCAAGCGATATCTTAGTCAATGTGTAAAATCAGACAATGTATAAAATGTGATTCCGTTGGTCAGTTTACAAAGTGCCGAAATACTTCAGTCATTTTACAAATTGTTAGAAAAATCTGTCCATTTAATTGACAGAAAGACAAAAAATAATTAACATTTTCAAAAGGGCTGAAACATATCATAATAAGACTTGTCATGCTAGCATTAGAAGTAAAAAAAATTATTTTTTTTAAATACACGTTGACTTTCCTTTTCTTTTAACCCAATCATTGTCAGTCACTGCGTAATGAAATTCAACCCAAAATGTTTGCTTTGTTTATGTTTGCAATTCGTTATCATACTAAAGTAAAATTGACATATTTTTCAGTCAATTGTTAAAATCAGTGAAACATTTAGGCGTTTCGTAATATTTCCTAAACAGTCATTTCCCACATTAGCTGTAACGTAAACACACGGCCTTGCAGCTGATGGGCCCGGGCCTGTGGTCAGGCAGTCAAGTGACTGTTTCAAAACCCACGCATTTACGCAGCTTTTGAACAAGACACGAAAGCCGGATACTGCCCTGTCTCCCCGTCGCCTGGCCTCGCGACAAGGCGAGTTGGCGGGCTGACAACAGGAAGGGTCCAATCTACCTCTACCTGGGGGAGGACGGCCCTGTGACGGCCTGCTTGTCTGCAGTATCAACTTGTATTTAATCCTATGTTACTTCTGGCTGTGTCAGTTCAGACACATTGTAACACCGTAAACATGTCTTCATACATGACAAGTTTTTAATTTCCATTTGCTTCCAATATATCATCAGACAAACACAATACATCAACATGTTTTGATATTCCTATTCGTGTTTGATAAATATTTGTTTTCACCCAATCAGCGCGTCTCCTAATATTTATTAGATTTCTCTCAAAAGCTTGTCATACGTAGACAAAGACGGCTTGTTGAAGTAGGTGGACTCGTCCAGTGGAGGGTGTGCAGGGTGTAATGTAATGGAATGCGGCACACAGCACGAAGACGACAGGACTGTTCCGGGATCTGTTGGCAGGACGTTAGACTTGCACAAGTCTCTATGGAAATTATTATTACTTTTAATAATAATTTCAACATTATATTAATAATTTAATAATAAAAATATTATTAATAAATAATAAGTTGTCCTTATAACAGACTAGACTTGTCGATTAAAAGGATATTTAATTACTATACACCCATGGACTTATCATGCAGTATAACCTTGAAGCAAGGCTAGCCGGTCTCGAGATATCGTCAACAATAAACGCCTGCTGGATTCTACCTGTGACTCTGGGCATGTTGTCACGTGACTGTGATGGGTGTATTTTTATCAAAATTATATTTCTGTCATATGTACTATGACTTATTGACGAGGGGTAATCTTAACACAACTGGTATCCAGCAACAAATATATCATGCCTACTTCGAAATCTAACCTGCAGATAAGAAATAAGTTACTTCATCGTTGTAAAAGGTTTTTGAACCGTGTTTCTTGTTTCGTCTTTAACACCGGAGTGCAATACGTGTAGGGCCAAGCAAATAATACTCTCACCAAGTGTAGCGGGGGGAGTCTAACAATTCAGTATTCATAAGGGGCTGGTCACATACTACACGGTGCGTGCATGCGTGTTGGCGTGCGTGTTGGTGTGTGTGTTGTACGTGTTGGTGTGGATGGGTGACGGAGAGAGACATTGGTCTTAGGACCATGTATGTTATCATGACTCCTCCCTTTTTTATGTAACTTTGCTTCATGCTCCCCTCCCCTCAATAAATGTAACACTTTGTAACCCACCCCACCTCTATAATTAATTACCAGTCCCTTGATAATGTTCAAATTTATGAAGAAGAAAAAAATATTTGAAACATTAGAACTGTGACATTTGTTAATAAATAAATATATAGTTCAGTAAATTAATGCATATGGGCCAGGCAAACTAGTGACTGACAGCATGAGAGGCACAATGATAGCTGATTCATCCAATCCAGTCGCGGTATTAGGGGCCTACTGTGGCCCAAGGAGGGATTCAGCTTCCGAAGTGACGGCCGGGTGTTGTAACAAGAGTTCCTCGTGAAACAACACAAGGGATCTGCGTTGGAGAACATCAACATGATCGTATTTTGTCCACGCACGCAGACTGTGAAACTCACCAGCGTCAATACAATAACCCGTCTATAGCATCCATGAAACATTATAAAACTCCATCCATGAAAAATTGCCCTTATTTCTGTTTTCAAAAAAACACTTAATCTCAGCTTTACACCACACGAAACGAATGTCGGCGTAGATGTAAGGGTCCGATTTAGCCAAACAAGTATAACCATGACAACCCTTGAATTCGGGGCCATCTGTAGCTCGGCTATACCGATATCCTGTAAATGTAAACTTTGCTTAATGTAATTTATGTGTAATATGATAATATGTAATTTCGAGGCAAAAGAACATTAAAATTGAAACGAACGTTAACATTGTTCAGGTCCTAGAGTTGTGACTAAAACGGTCGCCAATGTGACCTAAATTTCAATTTGTCTACTGAGTAAAATTCAGAA